CTCCACCTCTGCTCCCTCCATCCCTCCTGCCTTCACCTCTGCTCCCTCCATCCCTCCTCCCTCCACATCTGCTCCCTCCATCCCTCCTCCCTCCATCCCTTCTCCCTCCACTTATGCTCCCTCCATCCCTCCTCCCTCCACCTTTGCTCCCTCCATCCCTCCTCCCTCCACTTATGCTCCCTCCATCTCTCCTCCCTCCACCTCTGCTCCCTCCATTCCTCCATCTCTCCTCCCTCCACATCTGCTCCCTCCAGCCCTCCTCCCTCCACCTCTGCTCCCTCCATCCCTCCTCCCTCCACATCTCCCTCCATTCCTCCATCCCTCCTGCCTCCACCTCTGCTCCCTCCATCCCTCCTCCCTCCACTCCTCCATCCCTCCTGCCTCCACCTCTGCTTCCTCCATCTCTCCTCCCTCCACCTCTGCTCCCTCCATTCCTCCATCCCTCCTCCCTCCACCTCTGCTCCCTCCTCCCTCCACCTCTGCTCCCTCCATCCCTCCTCCCTCTTACCTCCATCTCTGCTCCCTCCATGCCTCCTCCTTTCACCCCTCCTCCCTCTCCCCCCACCTCTGCTCCCTCCATCTCTCCTCCCTCCATCTTTTCTCCCTCCTCCATCCCTCCCTCTTTCCCTCAGTAAACATTTCTTGAGCTTATTAGATGCTACAGGTATAGAAAATGCCTTTTTCCCTTCCACAAAGTTGAACCACTTATGTAACTTCTTCACTCAATTTGTTGTGACTGATTTTTTCATAGTAAATGTTCTTTGAAAACTTTTAATGAGATGTTAATGTGCATTGTACAGATGGACAGTGTCATTGTCAGCTGTTACCCTATTCTTGGGCAAGCTCTTTACCTTTTTTTTTGTAATAGCCAGTAGTCTAGAGACTATTTTGCATCTTCTTGAATAATTATCGGAGGAATCACAGGCACACAGTGCGGCTCTCTGTCTGGATCACATCTTTCACCAAGTGGATCTCTGCTCTGGGGCACGGCTGGTCTGGATCACACGTCTGGTCTGGATCACACGTCTGGCGTGCACAGGCCTGCTCGGCTGAGCGCCAGGAGGATCTGAGGACACTGTGCACTCACATCACAGTTTGAGGCCCCCGATTCCTAAAATACTTACCTAAAATAAATCTCCCCCCCTTTCTCTTTTCTGTCAGGATAAAGAGGCATTACGGGAGCAGCAGATGAGTAACTTGCTGCTGGTGTCCACGCTGCAGTCTAAACTCGATGAGGGCAGATGCCCTGTGCCTCCTGCAGGCAGCTGTCCTGAGGGCCCGGAAGCCCGGCTGGAGGCGGCGCAGAGGGCGCTCCAGCAGCGGGACAGCGAGGCAAGTGTCGGGGGCTCCGAGGGCTCCATCTGCTCGGGCTGCTGGTGAGGGCAGGACACCCGCCTGATCTGGGAGGTGGTCTGTGCCTGCCATATTCTGTACTGCGTGATGTTAACAGTTATGAAGCGTTAATAACTCTGCGTGGCCGGTACTTTTAAATGTTTTAAATAATTTTAATAATTACTGAGTGATTTAGAATATTAGATAATCTTTAATATTTTCTGTTTCAATGAAAGGTTTTGGACTTAAAAGAACAATTAGGAAAGATTAAAGATGACTTAGTAAGTAAGAGCAACGAAGTGCTGCATCTGAACTTGAAATTAGACGCAGAGAGCAGCCATGCTGCCGTCAGAGTGCGGGAACTTCAAGAACTTCAAGAGGAGAACGCCAGCTTGAAGGTAAACCGGGGAGACCCACCCAGACACCTGAGTTCATGTTGGTTATGTCCGTGCTACAGCCAGCCCGGGGGCCGTGGGTCGCGGCGCAGATGTTGTGAAGACCGAGGATGGCCCTCCGCCACCGTTTCGGGAGGTGCCTGCCTTCTGTTCTGAGGTCGGCAGCTGGGGCGGCTCTGGAAGGTGCACCGCGGGGCGGAGCCCAGAGCCGCCTTGATGCTGCGTCCCTCGGGCGCCATCCTCCACGTCCTGCTTGTGGCTCTGGGAGCCCCGTCTTAGAGGACGCTTGTGGGACTCACGCTGCAGGAGAGACGCAGCTGTCTGATGGCAGAAACTGTGAAGAGGAAATAAATCGTCACCTTTGACCTAATTTGGGTCATTAAAGGGTACCCCGATCTAGAAGAGGTGACTTTTATTAAATAGCTGCTCATTGTTAATCTTTGCTAAGAGCAGGATGAAAAAGAGATCGATTGATTGATTATAGAGTGGGGGTGGGGGGCAGAAGGAGAGAATCGAGCAGACTCCCGATGAGCGCAGAGCCCGACATGGGGCTCAATCTCACGACCCCAAGACCATGACCTGAGCTGAGATCGAGAGTCGGGTGCTTAACCGACTGAGCTGCCCAGGCGCCCCCCAAAAACTCTGTTTTTAAATCTTCTGTTATCTTAAATGTGCTTTAGTGGAGAACAAGTTGTAAAGAAACGGCCTTAGTGCCAAGCCCTCGCCTGTGGCACCCCGGCAGCTGTCGGTGCATGAACTGAAGGCGCTGGAAGACACTCAGGGCGTGGGGTTCATGTGGACGCTCCCAGGCTGTGTGTGTGACCTCAGTGAAAACGGGGTTTCAGGCCAACCCCAGGCAGCAGGCGTCTTCCTGGTGGGACTCCCTCCCTGGTCAGTAGTAAACGGGAAACCGTTTCCAGATTGAGTTAGTCTTTAAAGCTGAGGCTTGTTGGGGTGCTTCCCGTCTGCCAGATCAGGGTCTGCCCCCACAGTCCCGTTTTGTTGGCGTGGTTATTGTATTTCCACAGGAGTTTCTGCAAAACAAAGAAAAAGAGATCATGTGTGTGAGCGAACAGCTCAAGGCGCAGCTGGCTGGGATGGAAGGTGGCGCTCTCAGCGAGGTAGGCCTTTCCGGGGCTGGACGCTCCAGACCATGGTTGTGCACTGGAACTGCGCTTGCTGAGGGACAGGCGCCCCCTGCGACACCGCTGCTGGGTCGCGTGCACCCCTGCTGGCTGCCCTGGGGGCGCCTGGCACTCAGGCCTCGTCACCCCCGCAGTGTCCCGCATTGTAAGGAACCGCCTCAGCCAGAGGGGGACCAGACGTGCGTGCTCGTGGCCCGCGTGTCCACCCGTGTTCTCAGTTCCCGGCCTTTGCAGTCATCCTTTTTCGGGCAACCAGTGTTGCCCCTCGCCGGCCTCGCCCGCCCCATCTGCCCTGTAACCCAGAGGACCCATCGGAGACCTTCACGGGCTGGGCTATGTCTGTGTTGGGATTGAGGCTGGTTTGTGGTGCTTTTTCATCCCGTGCCCTTAGTGCAGCGAGTGCAGAGTCACTCTGGAGAGTCCTGGCGGTGGTCCGGCCATGCGGCGCACACGGGCTGGCCGAGGGGCTCGCCGCCCCTGCCGGAGTTCCCTTTGCTAACTGTCCCGTTCAGGACACAGCACGTAGACGTGGCAGATGTGTGTGCAGTGGCCCGCTGACGCCGTCTGAGTCACACCCAAAAATTCACCTGTTCTCTTACTTTTGTGTTCAGGATTGGCCAGATTGGATTTTGAGCTTAAGGGCGTTAAGTGGCACTAGTGAAACCAAGAATCATTAGGAAGCCTCAGTTATTAGGAAGTGAACACTGGACTGTAAGAAATGGGCTGAGGGTTGTTAACTGGAGCATCAGTGGGCTTGTCGCTGTTGGTACAGTCCGACGGAATGGAGTTTGGAGCCCTGGCGATAACCGTTTCGGTCGGATTTTCCGTTTCCTGTCTCTGCAGTCTTTACTGGACACTTAACGTCTGGGCTTCAGCTGTGTTATCTTCAAAGTGTGTATCACAAGGGTTCTTTCCTCACAGTTGTTGGGGATGGCGTTCAGGGCACGAGTGACCGCACGCTCCGCGGTCTGGGGTGGCACAGCGCGAGCGCCTGGCTCGGCCCCGAGCCTGGTTTCCTTACTTCACTCTCACTCTCGTGTCGGAACGACCCCCAGAATCTCCTGTTAGTGATTTCTGTCTGTAATTTATCCCGTTCGGCATTGAGCAAGCGCACGCTCTGCAGGTGGTGGCGTTCGTGCGGAGGTGCCGCGGGGAAGCGGCCAGTTGGCGCTGCCCACTGCGGCGGGGCACGCACAGCGTGTACCCAGGTGTCCGGGCAGGCGGTGAGGCGGTAGCTGTGCGCCTGACGGAGCTGGGGGCAGCATCTGGGTGTTTGCAAGAAGTCAACGCTCCCACAGCTGTGAAGTCCTGGCAAGCTGAGGAGGGACGTTCTGAAGGTGAAACGTTTTTCGCGCCTGAATGTGCTTTTTCCTCAGGTCCCGTGTGACCGAAGCTCAGAGATCGAGGAGCTGAGATCCATCATTGAGAACTTGCGAGACAACCAGCAACGCCTGCAGAGAGAGAAGGCAGAGGAGGTGGAGCAGCTCCACGAAGTCATCGAGAGGCTGCAGAGAGAGCTCTCGCGCGGGGGGCCCGCGGTGCACGGGGCCGAGGTTAGCGGGCTGCTGGGCGACCCCGCCGTGGGGCCCGAGGCATGGGCGGCGGCAGCGGGGGCGGTGGGTCAGCGGCTCCCCCTGGAGGCCCTGCCGCAGCACTTGCGGCTGCAGAGGAGGCCGCCGCGAGGCAGAGGGCCGAGCTGGAGTGCAGCGTGGCCCTCCGGGAGGCTGAGGTCCAGGGCTTGGCTTCCCAGATCCACGCCTTCAGAGCTGCCCTGCAGGCAAAGGAGGCCAAGGTCGCAGAAAGGGACTTAGCGAGTGACGCTCTGAAGCAGCAGGAATTGGCCCACTCTGCTGAGCTGGAGACCATCGTGATGGCCTTCTCCCACTTCTGCCTCGTCCTGGCCGCTGAGCATGAGCCCCCGGAGCTGCAGGGGCTCCGAGCGCAGTGTGTCCGCCTCAGCGGCCAGCTGCAGGTGCGGAACCAGCGGTTCCTGAGCTGCCAGAAGGGGCTGGGCAAGCAGCAGGCGTGTGGGGCCCGCCTGCACCCTCGTGTGGAGGGTAGCTCCAGGGACGGGGCCCCAGGGCTGAGGAGGCCGCGTGTGACGAAGAGTCGCAGCAGGATGTGGCCAGCAGGCCCCATGGCCATGTCAGAGGCCCCCTCTTGCTGGTTTGCCGGAGGTGAAGCGTCTGTGCATAGGGAGCTGCGGCGTGCTGGGGGAGTGGGGGCGTACACAGGGAGACCCCGTAAGAGGCCCTGACCCAGGCCACGGGTGGCCAAGCACTGGGGCTAGACCAGGGGGTCGGAGGTTCTCTCGAGAACTTACTGTTCCTCCTCTTTCCTCTTTAAATTTGAAAGCGTGTCCTTCCTGTGGTAGGCAGCAGGGGATGCGGTTTCCGTGGGGAGGCTCCTGCTGCGGTAGGGGTGAACCTGAAGCTCGTGGCTCCCGGGTGCATTAGGGTCCGTGGAACCTCAAGGCTCAGAACATGGTGTACACGGTGAAATCGCACTGGGGGTTTCACTATTTCATACAGCTTTAAACTGACTATCGTAAGTTATTCAAGGTTTTCAGAGTCCTGTGACTGGGAACATTGGATGAGATGGCTTTGTATTACACAGGCTCCCTGGATTTTCCTGAGTTCTAACCAGTTGCTCTATTTTTTTTAACACTGATTTTCTGTGTAAAACATGGTAAGCTCATTTCGTTTTGGGACATGCTGCACTTTGGTTTCGAGTAGAAGTTGGGGTTCGCTGCCTGCTGCTCTGTGCCATGTCCAGGCTGTGAGCAGCTCCTGTTGGCCCGTGCTTTTTTTTTTTTTTTTAAAGATCTTTATTTATTTATTTGACAGAGAGGGACACAGCGAGAGGGAACATAAGCAGGGGGAGTGGGAGAGGGAGAAGCAGGCTTCCTGCCAAGCAGGGAGCCCGATGCGGGGCTCGATCCCAGGACCCTGGGATCATGACCTGAGCTGAAGGCAGACGCTTAAGGACTGAGCCACCCAGGCGCCCCGGCCTGTGCTTTGTGGGGTGGCCCGGCTGGTTGCCGTGTCCTGGGAGCCCCAGGCCGGGAGCTCATCCTCACCTGCAGTAGCAGTGAGCAGGCAGCAGGACTTTGGGCACAGCTCTGGTCTGATGTTCTTCATGATGTAGGAAATGGGGACATTGCCTCGGGGTCCAGCTCCAGAGCTCTGGGGAGTCCGAGGCAGCCCAGGGACTGGGCTCAGTGCACATCAGACTTTCTGGTGCCTTCAGCTTTATCTTCATGAGCATTGTTGTTGTTTTCTCCGCTTACCGTAGAGTGCAGTGAATGGTGATCTGCAGCCTGCCGAAGCCCCGGTGTCGTTAAACCACCCGGGTCTGCACAAACAAGACAGCGTGATGGAGTCTGAGCTGCTCTTGGTGAAGAACGAGATGCCCTTGAGAATGGAGGACCATGGCAAAGGGCCAGGAAGGATGAAGGTACTTGGGCACATGGCCGGTGCTGCTGCGTGGGCAGAGACATCGCTGACATTTTTGCAGAGGTGACATGCATGTTACCTCAGACAGCAGCCCTATTGTGTTCTTATAGTCGTCTCTTCGGATCTGTTCTGAAATTTCCTACACGTTTTATTTAGGTGTTCTCTAGAAATGCACATTTCCCGTGGTCTTTTCAGCCTGGGGGAAATGAGCAATCCGTTACTTGTCTGGTAATGATACAAGTAGGATTTAACCGGGCTCTAAGGCCTGTCTCCAGGGTTTTCATGCGAGGACAAGTTGCCCACACAGCTGCACTGTGGCTCAAGGCCTTTGTCACCAGCATCTGTTACTTTGAAAGGCTCACGGTATTTTTTGAACCTCAGGGTTTTCCTGCGTATTTTGACTTGTGCTCCCAGCAGAGGAGAGCACGGTAATCTGGGATGCAACAGTTTGAAAATTCTGATCACCAGGAAGGCAGCAACAGGAGAGCTGGCTTTTCTTCTCCTGAGTTGGGAACGCTGCATCAAGTGTTGCAGGGTTGGGATGTTCTGAAAATCTAAAGTGGCTGGCTGGTTTGGAGGGTTTCCTAAGTGCAGTGGCAAAGTGTGCTTCGATCTACAGCTCTCTTGAGCCTCCAGTGACCCTGCTGCTGTAGACACTGCACGGTTTGGCAGTAGAACCGTGGAACTGTAACACAGTTCTCCCTTCCCGGGACCTCTCCCGTGATGTGCCGTACGCACCACATTCCTGTTGTAAAGTGAGAAGGTTCTGAATTCTACAGGTGGTTTCAGAGTGCGTGCGTGGACCATGCCTGCGGTTTTGATAGAAGATGCCTGAGTCTGGTTATATAGGTTTATCAGATCCCCACAGGACATTTAATTCTGTTTGGAGAGGGCTTTGTAACTGCAGCAAACTTCTCTCACTGCCCTTGGGATAAGAACATTTGTTTGAATTCTTGAGAGAAAGCTCAGCCTTGTGATTATGAGCTGATTGCCAAATTCTTAGAAGTTATACACTGGTAAGGAAATTGCAGATTCATTCCATAAATCACGTTTTTTTTGTTTTTTTTTTTAGTTTTTATTTAAGTGATCTCTACACCCAATGTGTGGCTTGAACTTGTGATCCTAAGATCAAGAGTCACACGCTCTTCCAACTGAGCCAGCCAGGCACCCCACAATTTTATATTTTTCAATGTTTGCATATAGAATCTTCCAGGCCCTTTTTCCCTTTTAAAAAAAAAATGCTTATGTTCTCAGTAAATTACCACAGAAATGACAGTTGCCTTTTTTGTGCATGTGGTAAAATATATATAATCTAAGAGTTATATTTTAAGCACTTTTCTTTTTTTAAAAGATTTTATTTTTGGGGCGCCTGGATGGCACAGTTGGTTGAGCTTCTGAGTCTTGGTTTCAGCTCAGGTCGTGATCTCAGGGTGGTGAGATCGAGCCCGGTGTCGGGCTGCTCGGTGCAGAGTCTGTTGGGGATTCTCTCTTCCTCTCCCTCTGCCCCTCCCACTCGTGCATGTTTTTTTTTTCTCTCTCTCTCTCTCTCAAATGGAAAAACAAATCTTTAAAAAGAAAAAAAAAGATTTTATTTTTTTGTTAAGTGGTCTCTACACCCAACGTAGGGCTTGAGCTCACAACCCCAAGATCAGGAGTCACACACTCAACCCACTGAGTCAGCCAGGTGCCCCACATCTTAACTTTTTTTTTTTTTTTTTTTTTAAAGATTTTATTTATTGGAGAGAGTGAGCAGGTGAGAGAGCACAAGCCCAGGGGAGGGCAGAGACAGAGGGAGAAGCAGACTCCCCGCTGAGCAGGGAGCCTGACATGGGGCTCGATCCTGGGACTCCAGGATCATGACCTGAGCCAAAGGCAGCTGCTTAACTGACTGAGCCCCCCACCAGTACCAACTGTTTTGATTACTGTAGCTTGATTATAAGTTTTGACATGAAATAGTTACACAAGTCCTCCAGTTTTGTTCTTTTTCAAGATTGTTTTGACTCTTTGAATTTTAGGGTGGGTTTTTCTGTTTCTGCAAAAAACGTCCTTAGAATTTTGATAAGATTGTATTGAATCTGTAGATGGCTGTTAGTATTGACATCTTAACAGTCTTAGGTCTTTCAATCCTAAATGTGAAATTTATTTGTCTTCCCTAATTTGTCTCAGCAACGTTTTATAGTTTCATTGTACAAAACTTTCATCTCCTTGGTACAGCGAATTCTTAATCATTTTCTTCTTTTTTGTTGCTATTGTAATGGAATTGTTTCCTTTGTTTCTTTTTCCGATTGCTCATTGTTGGTGTGTAGAAATGCAACTGATTTTTATATGTTGACTTTGTATCCTGTGACTTCGCTGAATTGATTTATTAATTCTAATAGGTTTTTTTTTTAATGGAATCCTTGTTTTCCACATACACAATCATATTATCTTGGAACGTAGATAATTTTACTTCTTCCTTTCCAATTGAGACACATTTTATTTCTTTTTTTTTGCCTAATTGCTCTGGCTAGAACTTCCAGTACTGTGTTGAAGAGAAGTGGTGAAAGCAGGCATTCTTGCTTTGTTCCTGGTGTTAGAGGAAAATCTTTTCAGTCCATCACCACGCGTATGATGTGCGCCATATGTTTTTCATGTATGGGTTTATATGTTAAGGTAGTTTTCTTTTAGTATGTTGAATGTCTGTAGTGAAAGGGTGTTGAACTTTGTCAGATGCGTTTTCTGCACCAGTTGAGACAATCATGTGATTTTTTTCCCCTTCATTTTGCTAATGTGGTGTATTATGTAGATTGGTTTTTCTATATTGAACTATCTTTGCATTCCAGGAATAAACGTCATTTGGTTAGAGTGTATAATCCTTTTAATATGGTATTGAATTCATTTTGCTAGTATTTTAGAATTTTTGCATCAATGTTCATAGGGGATATTGGTCTACAGTTTTCATTTTTGTAGTGTCTTTTTCTAGCTTTGGTATCAAGGTACTGCTGGACTCATACCATATGTCAGGAGGCATTCCTCTGCTTCTGTCTTTTTTTTCTTTTAACAGTTTTATTAATTTATTAGAGAGAGAGCATGCGAGCATAAAAGGGGGGGGAAGAGGCAGAGAGTGAAGGAGACTCCCCACTGAGCGGGAGCCTGAAGTGGGGCTTTCGATCTCACAACCCTGAGATCATGACCTGAGCTGAAATCAAGAGTCAGATGCTGAACAGACTGAGCCCCCCCAGGCTCCCCAGGATCATGTGTTTTTATGCATTCTGCCGTTCTCCCTCTTTGATGGGAAAGATTAATCCATTTACATTTAAAATAATTGCAGATAAGGAGGTATATTTTTTTGTCATTTTGCTCTTTGCTTCCTATATGCCTTATAGCTTTTTTTGGTTCTAATTTCCTGCATTACTGTATTCTCTTGTGCTTAGTTGGCATTTTATACTGAGATGTTTAAATTCCATTCTTATTTCTCTTTGTGTACACACTATAGCTATTTGTGTGTGTGTGGTTATGTTAGGGATTACGTTTAGCACCCAGAATTATAACACTGTGGTTTGAATTTATACCAGCTTAACTATAAAAACTGTTCCTTTACAGCTCTCCCCTACCCCTTTTGGTTTTTGATGTCACAAGCACATTTTTATACTTTTGTGCCTCAAAACCTAAAACTAATGATTGTTTTAAATCCATTAATTTCTTGTTATGTAGAAAAAACATGGAGTTACAAACTTAACAAGCTAACTTTTAGACTATTTTTAAAAAGTGTGTCTTTTAAATCATGATGAAAACAAAATGTGGAGTTGCACACCACTGTCCTAACAGCACAAGCTTTTTAAAAAATTCAAGTATTTTGACACACAGTGTTACGTCAGTTTCAGGTGTTCAGTCTAACACACTGGCTTTTCTTGTGTGTGCACTTACCTTACTGAGCGCTTTATGTCGCCACGTGACCTTGAGTTACCGTCCGGCAACCTTTCATGACACCCTGCAGGACTCCCTTGAGCGTTTCTGGCACGTATAGTGGTCACAAACTCCTGTAGCTGTTACTGATCTGGGAGTATCGTAATTTCTTCCTCACTCTTAAAGGACAGTTTTGCTGAATATTGGATTTGTAGTTGACTGTTTTTTTCTCTTAGCACTTTGCATATACTGACTGGCTGTTCTCCGGCCTCCAGTTTCTGAAGAGGAATCTGTTGGTGATGCTGTGAGGGTCCTTGTATGTGACAAGTCACTCAGAGCCTTTAGCTTTTATACGTTTGATTATAACGTATCTTGGTGTGTGTCTCTTTGAGTTCATCTTTTTTGGGATATGTTGAGTTTCTTGGATGTTTATATTTGTGTCTTTCATCAATTCTGGGAAGTTTTCAGTCATTATGTCCTCAAATAGTTTCTCAGCCGCCTTTCTCTCCTCTTCTGGGACTCCCACAGTGCGTATATTGGTCTTCTTGCCGGTGTCCCACACGTCCCGTAGTCTGAATTCACTTTTGTCAATCTCTTTTGCTTTTTTTTCCCTCAGACATGATCATTTCCATTATTCTGTCTTTAAGTTCAGTTCATTCTTTCACCTTCTCAAATCTGCCTTTGAATCCCTTTAGTGAATTTTTTAATTACTGTGCTTTTCAGCTCCGCAGTTTCTTTTTGGTTCCTTTAGATTGTCTCCATTGATATTTCTACTTTGTTCACACATCATTTTCTTGACCTTCTCCACATCTTCCTTTAGTTCCTCGAATGTCTTTAAGACCATTGTTGTAACATCTTTGACTAGTAGATCTGACATTGGGTCTTTTTCAGGGACAGTTCCTTTGGATTTGCTTTTTTCCTTTGAATGGGCCATACTTTCCCGTTTCCTTGTATGCCTTGGGGTACTTTTTCTTGTGGTTTGATTTTGAACACTGAACATTTGAGTCTAACAATGTCAGTTTGGAAATCTGTATCTCCTCCTTCCTCATAGCTTGCTGGGTTTTTGTTATTTTTCCATTTTATTTATTTATTTATTTTTTTAATGGTCTCTGTGCCGAGGATCAGCTTGAAGTATCAACTTCAGGTCTTCTCACATATTTTCTTCATCTGCACCTTTACCTGGGCACTCACAGTCACTTTCTCATTTCCTCTATATATGCAGTTGTTTTTGAGTGTTCTGGTTTTTAAGTTCTCCACGAAAAGAAGAATGCTGTGGTGGGAAAAAGGGCACTGGCCCTTTAAAGCCCCCGGAGGTCGCTTCAGCCAGAGGGGGAGGGGCTGCCACAGGCCTCACACCACTTTGCTCCTCAGTGGCCTGGAGCGGCAGTCAGAGCACATGTGCCCGGTATTTGTGGGACAGCCCCTTTTGCCCACCGTGGCTCGCACACATCATGTGCAAGGTGATCCAGGAAAGGGTGCACGCCAGCCTGCCAAGGGGCTGGGGGTCCAGGGATGGGTAACTGCTCCTGTGCAAGGAGCTGAGAGTGTCCAGATTGGCTGCAGTTTACCCCCAAGCCCCGCACCCCCCGGAAGTTGCAAGCCTTGGGCAGACTCCAGAGTTGTATAGGGCAGGCACCGTTCTGCCAGCGCAGTTGGTGCCCAGGTGGGAGACGGGTTCCTGGTGCTTCCTGCTCTGCCTCCTTCCCAGAGTCCTCTGCAGCAGTCACCATGTAGGCAGAGGGCTCTCAGCTGTGAGTCTGTCTTTCCTGGAATTGAAAAAGCTTAAAATCTCCACCCAAGGGCTCCTCATGGAGGCTCATTCTTAACTGCTCAGACAGCCTCTGAAATTGGCTTATAAATACCAGACAGACAGACGTGACCATGTGTAATTCAATTATTTTACTTTATGCACGTCCCTTTTACCTGCAGAATAAGGAAAAACTACTGGAAGATTGTCAGCTGTGGAAAGTTGGTCTCATAAGTCAGGTGAAAGAGCTTCAAGAAAAGTTGAACCGTCTGGTGTATTCTGTGAACTTCCAGAACATCGAGACAGAGGATTTCAAACATCAGCAGCTGGTGGCATCTACACATGCTTTAGAAAATAGTTCGAGTGATAGTTCTAGTCACAGTGAAGGAACTGGCAAATCGCCTCTTGTGGATGCGTTTCATAGCGACAAAACCACGTGTGATCTAATTGACCTTAGTGGAAGTCAGGATCCACTGATAAAAAATGAAATGTCAAATGTTGCCATGGAAGATGAGGTTGACTTGCAGGACGGATCACTTTGTTTACAAGCAGGCTTCCACGCTGGCTGCCATGACCTAACCCATACGGAGGGGCCTGGGCCCTTGAAGAACACACTCAGGGCAGTGGATCTGTCCTCCTGGAGCTCCCCGGAGGTTGTCAGGAAGGACTCAACTCTTGAGCCTGTGCCCAGCCTGCCCCTGACACCATGCTCAGACGCCCTGAGCTTGGACGCCTCCCTGCAGGACAGGACCAGTGCCTTGGTCCAGGCTGACCATTTGGAGCTGCTTTGGTCCCTGGGCGGCTCAGCAACAGGAAAGGCCTCCAGGTGGGCAGAGTCTCCATTGGCTGCAGACAGAGCTCCCTCCGCTGACCAACATGTGCAGCGGACGGCTGTGGTAAGTGGTCTTCCCTGGATGCTGCCCTGGTTTGCTGTCCGTGGGTGCCCAGGGCCCCAGAGTGTCCCCATGGAAATGTGTCTGCAGCAGCTGCAGGATCATAGCTGCAGCCATTGTTGGTTCATCTGCTGGTGGGGCCGGGCCCCGGTGTGGGCACACACCTGACAGCCCCGGTCAGCCATGTGTAGGGACAGTCCGCTTCCTGCAGCACCAGCCCCAGTCGGTTGTAATACGAATAATTAGAGGACTTCAGTTATTCCTAAAAATATGTGCGACGCACCAGTCCCACTCAGATACTCAGGCCAGGCCTCCGTGCGCTCGCTAGCACGCGAGAAGCACAGTCACAAACCCGCCTTCGTGTGTAGTTTTCATTCAGGTTCTTTGTCTAGAGTGTGTTTTCTAGATTTGTTTTCAGTTGTAGTTCATACTTAATAGGTTCTACATATAATGCTAATTAATTTAAAAAATTATTTTTGAGTTAGACTGTATCTTTTCTTACGGAATAATGTTGAGATTTTGCATATCCTGGGTTAGAGAAAATAAAAAATGAGTTTCAGGGAGCATGATATTTGAGATACCCATATCCCCAGGATGCTACCACAGAAGTTTTTTTAATCTGAGATATTTGGTGGGTTTGTTTAAATTCTTAGAAGCACATGATTTCAGTGTGTTCCCAAGCGTGAAACACTCTTGTTTGGGTTCTGTGTGGAAAAATGATAAATTCAGGCCTTAGAAAGTTTCCATCTGGCTAGTCAGCTCCCTGGTATGATCAGTTGTTATTTTATGACCATTTAAAAACTTGCCTGTTTGAACAGGAGAAAGATGTTGAAGACTTTATCGTAACATCTCTTGATGCTCAAGAAAAGCCCAGATCCTCTCCTCTCGGGTTTGAAGGAAAGAACAATGGAAGTGAAAACAGTGAGTCAGTCTTTTTTTTTTTTTTTTTAACCTCTTAAAGTTTCAGGGAACAGGACAGCATGGAGGGCCCCCAGGTTGGCATTTGCTGGTGCACCCTGGCCGTGCCCGCCTCCATCTCCTCTCTGTGCTGAGCGGCACCTGAAGGCCTGAGGTCATGTTACTGTGGAAAACTCAATTGTGCACCTTCAGACCCTGCACTCAGCACCCGGACGTCCGCCGTGGCCCACGGCAGCATCTCAACTACCGCCCTTCCTTAGATTTTGCCACTTGTCCCATTGGCGCCCTTCACAGGAGGGGGTACTGCGCTGGTACGAGGCATTCAGATGTCCCTTGCTGCTGGGCCCTGCAGTGTGGGAGGGAGGCTGTGCCGTGCAGGCCCCGAGAGGGAGCCCCTCCCTTTTCCAGCAGTTCTGCATCTCGTTTGGGTATCTGGAGCAGAGTCGTCAGCATGGGTGTCCCGCATCGATGCCATGGTCTTCCCAGGGCATCACAGCACAAGGCTTGCAGTGTCCCGCTTGGACCCCTTGGCAGTGGTGTCTGCCAGGTTTTGTTCGATTTTTCCTTTTCGATTGCTTGGTGTTGGGCAGGGGGTTACGAGACCATGCCTGTGATCTCTTGTTTCTCAGACTCAGACCCACTCACGTTAGCCTCCAGGAGTGACTGTCGCCTGGACCATCATTAGAATGGTTGCCAAACCATGACCTTCTAACCTTGTCCTTCTGTAATTGTTGGCTTTTTACAAGTTCATCACCTGTTGAGATGTTTTGGCTTTTTTAAAAAAAGTCATCATTGACTCAGTTCAGTGCTTTTGAAAACTAGACCACAGTGAAGTAAAGTTCATTGGGGCCAGCAACGTTTTAATTTTAGTTTTGAGTTATTCCGTGTGGTAAGTGCCTGGTTTAAGAACCGAACTGTTCTGCAAGGTGCCTTCCAGCTGCCCCCACTCCAAACCACCGTTCCCTGAGGACACCCACATTTAATTTTGAGAAATCTGTTCCGGAATTTATTTCTAAATCACATGTGCTAATTACAGCAACATGTTTAAACTTCTGGCTGCCAGTTTCTTATACTTCCCTTCCCCATCTTCTAAGGTGGCCCCATCGTCCTGCCCTGTCCCCTCACCACAGAGTTTGTGTTTTGAGTGCACCTGTCAGATTCCTGCAGAACCTCTGGGACTGAGTGTCCTCCCCCAGACAGCTGGTTTCCCTTTCTCATTGCCTCCCTCCTGTTCTCCGTCACGGGTCCTGCCCACACTGTCCGCAAGCATGGGTGTGCGCTGCCCATGTCATCTTCTGAACATGCCGTCTCCGCTGTCTGGGTCAGACCCCTTGTCCCTCCTTTGTGGTCCTTATTTTAAGTAGTGTGTTCTCTAGAAGCATTTGCAGAAAACGCACGTGTGAGGTGGGTTTTCTAAGAACTTCTGCATCTTCCTGATGTTTGTTGATGGTTTGGGCTTCGTGCAGATTCACAGGTGAGAAGTCACATTCCTTCAGACTCCAGAGCATCTGACCACTGTCCCAGAGCCTGGTGTCACGGAGCACCGCGGCCGCCATGTGACGCCACGCACCCCGGCACGTCCTTCGTCCTGAATAGGTCTTCACTGTTCCTTGGGGCACTGCCCCCTGGCTCTCATCTTGCTGTACTTCCTGTTAATCACTGGACTGATGTTCTTATTTTCTCACTTTATTTCCATTTCTTTGTACTTTTGTTCTTATTTGTTAAAGAACCTTTTAAGAAATTAGTTCTTAAGCTTGGAAGTGAATGTTTTCATTTCTGCTGTGCCTTAACTTCTAAGAGCTCTTCTTTCTTATTCTCTGTTCCTTTCTCTTGAAAATTCCTTGTTCCACGAATGAGACTTACCTCTCTGAAGATATTCTGGTTTTTCTGAAGTTTTCTTGTGTTTGCTGCCTTTATTGTATCTCCCCCAGCGGTCTCTGAGTCCCTGTTTCATGCTGTCTTTTGCGCATTCTTTGGCATGTTTAAGAACCTAGACTCCTCAGCAGGGTGGTCTCGGCAACTTGCTGGAAGGTCTGTGCTGGGAGGGGCCATGCCAGGGTCTCTGAGCCCCCGTTCCCACGCGTGCTCGGGGCCCGTCAGCGGAGCAGCCCCAAAGGCTGATCCTGCTTTTCCCTGGATGCCTCCCTCTATTTTCCAAGCCTCTGGGCATTGGCTGTGGGCTGCACGGGACGCACCACGTACTTCAGAGAGGTTTGGAATTCCTTTTTGAGGCCCCCCCGTGAGGGGTTTCTGGTGTCTCAAACCCTAGACTTTTGAGGGCTCTGGCTGGTCTCAGAGCTTGACTCCACCCACCCCCCATCAGGTGTGTTCACCTTTTCCCGGCCAGATGCCTACTGCTCGACCTGCTGCCTGCACACAGCCCTGCGGATGGCACCGTGCATCTCCTGTCCCCCTCCTCCTCTCTCTGCACGCGGTGGGAGCCCTGCCCTGTCCCCATCCCTTCCTTGGGTGTGGAAATACAGGCCCCGCCCACATCGGTCTGCCCAGGCGCTTCCTGTGTGAGCCCCGCGGGCTTGGGTCCTGTCTTTGGGGGATGAGGAAACCCACCTCTGCATCTGTTTACAAATGAGCTGAGATCCCATTAAGGTTTATGTTGGAATCATGGGTATTCACATACCAAACATGCAAAATATGCTTTTTCTTAATGTGTGTAGTTACGTCATCTTACGGTTTTGTAAAACTATTTTTGCCTTCTTCGGTGGTTTGTCGATGCCTTCAGGGAGGGGAGCCCTGGCTGTAGCTCTCCTGAGTGTTTTGGGGCCTCACGCAGCACCAGGAAGCCGGGGTCTGACCACACCCCTGGCTCTCGCTGAGTGCCCCTCCCCCCCAGACCCTCCCCCAGGAATGCCGCCAGAGGACTGTGGTTTAGACCCTGACTTTGTGCTGTGTTTTTAGGTGATGGCTCTGGGTTTGGAAAGATACTAAACCAAGGTTTGGGAAGACTCGAAACCCCCACTGCTAGTCCTCCAGTGCCGCCTCCCACCTCTGGAAGGTTCCGACGGCCACTGGAAGCTATGAAGGAGAAGGAAGTGCATCCGAAACAAGTGAAGGTGAGGGTGTGCAGTGGCCATGTGCCTCTGTCTGCAGCTGCTGTGGCTGCTGGGAGGGTGCGTGGCGTTGGGTTGCGTGCGTCATCCCGCACACACCGCTGCATCGGTTCTAGCTGGGCTCTGACTCACGTCTCGTGTGAGTGTTTCCGGAGGGAGATACCTGCTGTCCTGGGGTGCGTGGGGACGGGTGTTGCAGGTGAGAGCCTGGCGTGGCGGGCTGGTGGGGCTGCAGGGGCCTCGGGCCCTGGGGTCCCCGGAGGAGGACCAGCTCTTCCCGCACCTGCTGCCGCGCAGCGCACAGTGGGCCTGCCGGTGCAGGTGCTGTAATCGGGGTCAGTCTTCCTGACTTGAGTTCAGGTATCAGAACGCACGACCCTCTGTTTGGTCCTGGCGATTGACCTTCGGCCTTTCCTAAGACGTCTGTGGCATGTGCTCACCACTGGGCCGCCCTCCACCACGCGCCTGCAGGGGACCGAGCCGCAGAGCAGATGGGGTGGCCCGCTGGGTGAGCCGCCCGCTGCCCCTGCCGGCGCCTCCCCGAAGACCCTCTCGTGCTGCCCACCTGGCCGCAGAGCGGAGTCCTCGCCGGAGGACGGCAGCCACGGTCAGCATGCGGCAGCTCAGCTAGGAGCAGACTTTTAAAACAGCTCTGTTCTGGTTTTAATTGACGCGGGACAGTGAGTTTAAGGTGCAGTGACCCCCCAGGGAGGTTACTCAGCACCTCTGTCACCTGGGGCAGACGGCCTGTGGCACTTTCCACAGGTTCTCTGTTCTCTCGCCGGTTTAGCAAATCCTTTCGACGTCAAACCACTGACACAGTCTTGGCTGAGTAAGTAAATGATGCGTCACTGTCGTGAAACTGAAAGCATTTCCAAAGAAACCTTTTTTTTTTTTTTTTGAGTGTCGTTGACACCAACGTTCTACCAATTTCAGGTGCACAGACAGCTTGGTGACTTGACAAGTTTATGTGTCACGCTGTGCCCCCCATAGGTGCGGTCCGGTTACATTGCCGTTACGGTACCATCGAGAGGAAACAATTCTGTCTACAAGATTTATTTATCTATTTATTTGAGAGAGAGCGTGCGCATGAGCAGGGTGGGGGAGGGGCAGAGGGAGCAGGGAGCCCGACGCGGGGCTCGATCCCAGGACCCCGGGATCATGACCTGAGCCGAAGGCAGACGCTTAACCGACTGAGCCACCCAGGAGCCCCCGAATGAAGTGTTTTTAAAATAAACATAATGTGTAGTTGGGCCTTTAGCACTTTTATGTCAGTATTCCACTTTTTTGGGTCACATCATTAGAATCCTAGCAAAACCTATTTCTAGTTAGCTAATTGTGCTCTGTCATAAGCCTCTTCATTGCTACTCTCCCACCTCCCAGAGGAATTTTACCAGACATTTACTTACTTACTTATTTATTTTTTTTTTAAAAGTCATAATGTGTTTATACATGTCAATTTTCCCACTGTAGGTGGTGAAAAAGACATTAAAATACATTAAAAATAAAATATTTATTAATCATGTATCTTTTAAATTTAAGTTCTAGTTAACATATAGTATATTATTACTTTTAGTTTCAGAGGTAGAGTTTAGTGATTCATCAGTTGCATACAACACCGAGGGCTCATTACATCACGTGCCCTCCTTCATGCCCGTCACCCACTTACCCCATCCCCCCACCGCCCCTCCAGCAACCCTCAGTTTGTTTCCTATGATTGAGAGTCTTTTATGGTTTGTCTCCCTCTCTGATTTCATCTTGTTTTATTTTTCCCTTCCTTCCCCTATGATCCTCTGTTTTGTTTCTTATATTCTGCATATCAGTGAGATCATATGGTAATTGTTTTTCTCTGACTGACTTATTTCACTTAGCATAATATCCTCCAGTTCCATCCACGTCCTTGCAAATGTCAAGATTTCATCCTTTCTGATGGCTGCATAATATTCCATTGTGTATATATACCACATCTTCTTTATCCATTCATCTGTCGATGGACATCTAGGCTCTTTCCACAGTTTGGCTATTGTGGACATTGCTGCTATAAACATCGGGGTGCACGCACCCCTTCGGATCCCTACATTTGTGTCTTTGGGGTAAAT